TTTTTTTTTTTGAGACGAAGTCTTGCTCTGTCGCCCGGGCTGGAGTGCAATGGCGTGATTTCCGCTCACCGCAACCTCCGCCTCCCCAGTTCAACTGATTCTCCTACCTCAGCCTCCCGAGTAGCTGGCCTTCACGCCCAGCTAATTTTTGTATTTTTAGTGGAGACGGTATTTCACCATGTTGGCCAGGCTGGTCTTGAACTCTTGACCTCAAGTGATCCGCCCACCTCAGCCTCCCAAAGTGCTGGGATTACAGGTGTGAGCCACCACACCTGGTCCGAGCTGAATTTTGATCTAACCCCAAATCCAGGGTTCTTCCCCACCACATCAAGGAGCTGATTTGGTTAAATAACCCAATTTAGCATTTCTTTACTGCCCATCCAAGAGGTTGTCAGGTTCCTAGAGTTGATGGAAAATTCTCTTTTACCTGGTGCCTGAGGATGGAAGGAGGAGAACGTACTCCACAGTTGATGCCTCACCATATGTGCTTCTCTTTACTGGTGTGGTTGCAAGCTCACCAGATTTAGCATTGATGGGACTGCCCAAACCATACATTATTTAAGCAAAGAAATTTGTCTAAGTTACTGCCAGGGTTGACTGCATTGGGTTATCAGTCTGCTAGTGTAGTGGTGTAGCAGGAGCAGGAGCAGCCTGTTTCATGCCCTGGAACAACCAGCCAGGAAAGATCTAACCCTTGGCCCTTCCTCCTCAGTGATGTCCGAGCTCAGTGATGAAGCCAGCGAGCCGGAACTCCTGAACCGCAGCTTGTCCATGTGGCATGGGCTGGGGGCACAGGTCAGCCGGGAGGAGCTGGACGTCCCCCTGGATCTTCACACAGCTGCTTCCATTGGCCAGTATGAAGTGGTGAAGGAATGTGTGCAGCGGTAAGAGATCGCGGGAGCTTCCCTGTCACATTTTGAGTAGCGCAGTAATGGCTTCGGATCCCACGTGATGGGGCTTTGCACACAGATGTGGATGTGTAATGCGTGTAGAATAGGTTAACCTGCTTATCTCAGGCAGCTGTCAGCAATTATTGATGCTGGCCACTGAGAAAGAGGCAGTTTTTATTCCTGGGAAGAAAAAGAGGGTGTAAACTTTGATCAGAAGCTTATAAACAGTCATTCTTTAACCAGACTAATTTTATTCACTAATTGCAGAAATGCCCAAACAAACAAGCAAAATAAAAATAAAGACAGAAAGTGAAGGCCGGGTACAGTGGCTCATGCTTGTAATCCCAGCACTTTGGGAGGCCGGGGTGGACGGGTCACTTGAGGTCAGGAGTTTGAGACCAGTCTGGATAACATGATGAAACCCCATCTCTACTAAAAATATAAAAGTTATCTGGGCGTGGTGGCATGTACCTGTAATCACAGCTACTCAGGAGGCGGAGGCAGGAGAATCGCTTGAACCTGGGAGGCGGAGGTTGCAGTGAACTGAGACTGCACCACTGCACTCCAGCCTGGCGACAGAGTGAGATTCCTTCTCAAAAAAAAAAAAAGAAAAAGAAAAAAAGAAAAAAGAAAGCAAAAGGAAAGTGATCCCTGGCCGCCTTTTCCTGGAGGGTTCATTCGATCCCTGTGATCCCTGTTCCCCTGTAGCTTCTGCTACTGAGAGAGGCTGGGTTTTTCGTGCCTCTGGGGAATGGCCTGTGGACCTCACTGCCCACCTGCCCTTTGCTAATCTGTATACAGTAGTTAGAGACAATACAAAGCCCCTGGCCGGGCCCATGGCTGAGTCTTGCCCATAGCAGGATGTGATCATCTTGTTTTTGGAAAAGGGTAGTCTCCTCACTTCTACCCCCTTATGTTCCACACACTGCCTAACTCTGTCTCCTGGTTCTCATTTGATATTGTGGTGCAGTGACCTCTCTCCTTATCTCCGAGTGCCTCTTCCAGTTCCCAGTGAGCCAAAGCAAAGCCTTGCTGAAGCCCCAGGTCTCCGGTTCCCAGCTTGTGGCCCTCACTTAGACATACCCAGCCCATGGAGCGCTGGTGCAGCTTGGTACAGGGTCGTCTGTTGTGCTCCCCCTGCAGGAGGCTCTAGGCCTAGGCAGTTGGGTATGCAGTCAGTGCGACCCCTCACAGGGTCACGTTTGGAATTCTCAGGCTCCTAAGTCTTTGGGTGTCCTGTTAAGATGCAGAGTCCAGAATGGCTCCGCAGAGGAGCAGGGGGAGGTGTTTGTGTTGTGGTGGGATTTCGACACTAGCTGAGGTGGAGGCTTGCTGACAGTAAGCACGGGATGGGGCCTGAGGGGAGACGGGGGCATCAGAAGGGAGGGTTGGGGCTGAACGAGGAGTGGTGAGAGAGCCCCAGAAAGGCGCTCTGCTGTTGTGTAAAGGAAGATAGTGTTAGGACGAGCTGGGTGCATTCGAGCCCTGTTGCAGAAGCATCTCCATGCAGCCCCCTGGCCTGGTATCAGGACCTTCTGGAATGGCTGCCTGGGTGTGCATCCCAGAGTCACTGAGGGCTGCCAGGCAATGGAAGGTAGTTGCCTGGTGTGGTCTAATAGGTGAATCCCGGCCGGGCGCGGTGGCTCACGCCTGTAATCCCAGCACTTTGGGAAGCCGAGGCGGGCGGATCATGAGGTCAGAAAATCGAGACATCCTGGCTGACACAGTGAAATCCCGTCTCTACTAAAAAAAATACAAAAAAATTAGCCAGGCCCACGTGGTGGCGGGCGCCTGTAGTCCCAGCTACTTGGGAGGCTGAGGCAGGAGAATGGCGTGAACCTGGGAGGTGGAGGTTGCAGTGAGCCGAAATCGCACTGCTGCACTCCAGCCTGGGCAACAGAGCGAGACTGTCTCAAAAAAAAAAAAAAGTGTGAATCCCACAAAAGGGACAGATCCCGGGGTTCAGTCTCCAGTTGTTACCCCCACTGCAGGCAAGAATTGGGGAAGGGAAAAAAGGCCTATGGGGGTTAACCCTGTAGGATCCCAGGTAGCCATGCAAGTGGGTATTGTTTTAAACGTGACTCCCTTGTCCCAACCCCAAAGTCATGACTAGGAAGCCCACAGTTTTTTCCCATGGGAAAATGCATTTCCAGAATTTTAACGGAAGTCAGTGAGAAAGATGGGATTCTTTGGTCACAGATTTTTCAAGAATGTTTATTTAGGGTGAGGTGACAAAGGATGAATCAGTGGCAGTGGGACTTGTCCACGGTGGAGTCCTTTCTTTCCTCACTGCTCGTCTCCACCTAGCACTGGGCTAGTAGATGCCACTCCTGCGGTGGTCAGGGTTTTTCACCTGTGGCTGTGTTGACAGTCCATGCTGGATCATTCTTTGCTGTGGGGCTGTCCTGGGCACTGTGGGATGTTTAGCAGCAGCCTTGGCTTCCACCTGCTAAATGCCAGCAGCCCTTCCCTGCCCAGCTGTGAGAACCAAAAATGCCTCCAGACGTTGCCAGATACTCCTTGGTTGAGCGCCATCTGTCTCTCTGGTGGTGTGAAAGAATATAGCCGGCCTCGGGCTAGGAGGATGCGAAATCAGCGCAAGGAGACGAAGGCTCAGGGCCTCACGAGGCAGTGTACGAGCAACTGTCAGCATTTCTCTGCCTGCCTGCCCCCAATCCCTACAACGTCCAGGGTGGCAGATAACTTCTACTTCCTGTCAACTCATCCCGCCTGGCCTAGGCTCGCCACCGGCTTTGGCGAACCCCACATGTGAGGCGGCTGGCCATGTCTAGCGTATCTTGCGTTTGTTTAGGAGAGAGTTAGATTTGAATAAGAAGAACGGTGGTGGCTGGACCCCGCTGATGTATGCCTCCTACATTGGCCACGACACCATCGTGCACCTGCTGCTTGAGGCGGGGGTGAGTGTGAATGTGCCGACCCCAGAAGGGCAGACTCCACTGATGCTGGCCTCCAGCTGTGGCAACGAGAGCATCGCCTACTTTCTCCTCCAGGTGAGCTACGAGGGAACTCAGGCCCAGAAACCTGAGGGGCTCCCTGACCGCCCTGACAGAGACGCAAACCACTGCAGGCCATGGTGTTCGTGTGTGCTCGTGTAATCATTTCTGATTCTTGCAGCATGGCCGCCTGGAGGGCGCCCGCCCCACGCAGAGGAGATGAGGCCGTAACGCACGTTCTGTGTTCTCTTGAAGCAAGGTGCAGAGCTAGAAATGAAAGACATCCAGGGCTGGACGGCCCTTTTCCACTGTACCAGCGCCGGGCACCAGCACATGGTCAGGTTCCTCTTGGACAGTGGAGCCAATGCCAACGTGAGGTGATTGCCACGTCTTTAGTGGCCACAGGAGTGGCCTAGGTGTCATCTGACTCTAAGGAGGTTGGCTCTGGAGGCAGCTAACCAGAGTTTGGGGCCACCCTGCTTCGGCAGGAAAGGCTCAAGATGAGGGGTAGGCCGAGAGTCCTTCCAGGCGTGGGCCTTTTCCCACATCTGTGAGTGCATCTCTTCAAGCCCTCTCAGCTTCCTTTTCTTTATCTGAAACCCACCTGGTCATAGAGTTGTAAGAATTACACGTTTTATTGTATGCCAGGGGCCTAACATACTGAATGGCATTTAGATGTCATACATTACATGCAAATTCCTTCCATTTTCTTCCCTTTTGTATGGATGAGATGAGGTGATGCTTTAAAAACAGTCATGAGTTTTGGCCGGGAGTGGTGGCTCACACCTGTAATCCTAGCACTTTGGGAGGCCAAGGAGGGCAGATTGTGAGGTCAGGAGGTCAAGACCAGCCTGGCCAACATGGTGAAACCCCGTCTCTACTGAAAAAGCAAAAATTAGCTGGGCTTGGTGGCGGGCGCCTGCAGTCGCAGCTACTCAGGAGGTGGAGGCAGGAGAATCACTTGAAACCGGAAGGCAGAGGTTGCAGTGAGCTGAGATCATGCTTTTGCACTCCAGCCTGGGCAGCAAGAGCAAAACTCCTCAAAAACAAACAAACAAAAAAACCAGTCATGAGTTTTATAAGTTGGAAGTGGGATTGTTGTCTAAAGCTTATTGTGATAATAATCACCTTTGAACAAACGCAGTGGGTACCAATGCAGACCCACCCTGGCTGTCATCCATCCTAAGACACCCCATAATTTTGTATGCCACTGAGAAAGAAAAAATATGCTACTAATTAACATTCAACTCACCTGTTGGTTTAAAGATGTTTTCTGACTTCAGAGATGTTAAAATATGAACACTGTGTGTCTTAGAATGGATGAAAACCAGCATTTCCCATGCATGGTTCCTGACTTCTAGACCAGCGTGACACAAGGAGGGATTCGGAAGCCCTCTGAAGACAGTGCCGAGTTAGCATAACCAAGTATGAAAAGCAAGCTTCAGGAGCTAAGCGTAGCAAGGACAGCTTAGATCATTAGTACCTGAGCTTTTCAGAGTGGGTTCGTGGAGGATGTTGAACTTGAAGCTAGGATTTGGATGAATGGATGGGAGACGTTGGCTTTCTGTGAGGAGTAAGGAGTCAGAACTGCTTTTTGAATATGATTGAGGTGGAGATTTCAGAGGTAGCAGAGAATAGCCAACAGGAGGAATGATAGGCAGACATCTGTCTTTAGGACAAAGACCAGCCCTGGGGACAGACACCAGAAGAGTAAATGGAGCTAATGTGTTATTCTCATCTCACCTGTTAATTCTTGAAAGGGAGAGAGTGTTCTACACTGAGGGTTCGGTGATTCGTGCACTGCCCTGGGTTTATCTTCAGCAGGGAGTTTTTGCCTGACAGAACTTGTCTCTGCCAATCATCTGACTGTGGCCCACATCTTGCAGGGAGCCGATATATGGATTTACTCCTTTGATGGAAGCAGCTGCGGCTGGCCATGAGATAATCGTGCAGTATTTTCTGAATCACGTAAGTGACCCTGTTTATTAGCATGTAATGTAGTCACAGCAAATGAGGAACCATATTACTGAAGTATAAGCTATTACAGAATTTTCCTTTGCACGGAAATAACTGCTTTTCGTTCATTTATTCAACACATTTTCTTTATCTGTTGACGCCCGGTGTTGAGTGGTGCTTTGGCGTTAAGGGTACAATGGTGAGTAGAAATAGACACCTATTCCTGTAATAATTTTGAAAATACTATTTGAAAAATATGGAAAAATGTTTTAAAAGTAAATAGCGGCCGGGCGCGGTGGCTCAAGCCTGTAATTCCAGCACTTTGGGAGGCCGAGATGGGCGGATCACAAGGTCAGGAGATCGAGACCATCCTGGCTAACACAGTGAAACCCCGTCTCTATTAAGAAATACAAAAAACTAGCTGGGCGAGGTGGCGGGCGCCTGTAGTCCCAGCTACTCGGGAGGCTGAGGCCGGAGAATGGCGGGAACCCAGGAGGCAGAGGTTGCAGTGAGCCGAGATCATGCCACCGCACTCCAGCCTGGACGACAGAGCGAGAGAGACTCTGTTTCAAAAAAAAAAAAAAAAGGAAAAGATCTTCCTCTCTTTTTCAACCTCCCTAAGATACCCACTTGGTTTGGGAAAGAGCTGCCCTGGGACTTTTCCTCTGCTGTGGAAAGGTGTGTCTGTAGGCAAGTGTGTGCACATTGCTTTGTGTTTTGAACAAAGTGGGATTCTACTTCTATTGTGTAACTTAGAGACATCTTATCTTTGTACAGTATTCCGTGTACAATCTGCCCCAGTTAATTCAATGAGTTTCTTATTAGTGGAAACTTAGTTTTTAACATTTTGCGATTATAAACAGTGCTCCAGGAATATCCTTTTACACAAAGCTTTAATACACTTACAGTTGTTGCTGTATATTGTATTTCTATTTTATTTTATTCTTTTTTTGAGACAGGATCTTGCCCTGTGTCCCAGGCTGGAGTTCAGTGGCGAGATGATGGCTTACTGCAGCTTCAACCTCCTGGGCTCAAGCGATCCTCCTGCCTCAGCCCCCAAGTAGCTGGGACCACAGGTGCATGCCACCATGCCCTGGCTAAATATTTAATTTTTTTTTTTTGGTAGAGTTGGGGGTCTCAGCATGTTGTGCAGGCTAGTCTTGAATTCCTGAGCTCAAGCGATCACCTCAGCCTCCCGAAGTGCTGGGATTACAGGTGCAAGCTTGTCCACGCAGAACCTTGTACATAAATATTTATAGCAGTATTATTCATAATTGCCAAAAAGTAGAAAAAACCCACAAGTCCATCTACTGAGGAATTGATGAACAAAATATCTATCTAAATAGCAGGATATTATTTGGCCCTACAAGGTAGTGAAGTTCTGATGCATGCTGCGGCATGGGTGAATCCTCAAGCATTAGGCTGGGCTGCGTGCGGTGGCTCACGCCAGTAATCCCAACACTTTGGGAGGCTGAGGCCGGAGGATCACTTCAGCCCTGGAGTTGGAGGTTGCACTGACCTATGATTGCGCCACTGCACTCCAGCCTGGGTCACAGAGTGGATCCTGTCTCAAAAAGAAAAGGGAAATATTAGGCTCAGTGAAAGAAGCTGGACACAACAGGCCACACACTATCTGATTTCATTCATATGAAATGTGCAGAATAAGCAAATACATAGACAGAAAATAGATGAGTGGTTTCCTGGGTCTTGGGGGATGGGAAGATTGGGGTGATAAAAATGTGCTAAAATTGTTTGTGGTGATGGTTGAACAACTGTGAATGTACTAGAAGCCATTGAATTGTACATTGTAAGTGGGTGACTTGTTGGTATGTGGATTATATCTTTATAAGGCTGTTAAACCCAATGGGGGGAAGTTCAGGCGGTCCTAATGAATTCCCACTACTAAGGTTGTGTCTCGTCCTGCCCACCAGTCGTATACAAAGGTGCCCATTTTCTCATGTGCTCACCAGCCCTGATGTCAGTCAGCCTTTTGTCAGTCTGGCAGGTGAATTGTGGCATTTCATTTTGGTTTGTCCTTGTTAGTGTAGTTGAAATTTTTTTTTGGAGACGGAAGTCTTGTGCTCTCTCGCCCAGACTGGAAGGCTGGAGTGCGGTGGTGTGATCTCGGCTCACTGCAACCTCTGCCTCCCAGGTTCAAGCAATTCTCCTGCCTCAGCCTCCCGAGTAACTGGGACTACAGGCACACGCCGCCACACCCAGCTAATTTTTTGTATTTTAGTAGAGATGGGGTTTCACCGTGTTGCCCAGACTGGTCTTGAACTCCTGAGCTCAGGTGATCTGCCCCCCTCGGCCTTCCAAAGTGCTAAGATTACAGGCATGAGCCACCGTGCCCGGCCAGTTGAACATTTTTAAATACATTTCTTGGCCAGGCACAGTGGCTCACACCAGTAATCCCAGCACTTTGGGAGGCTGAGGTGGGCGGATCACGAGCTCAGGAGATCGAGACCATGGTGAAACCCTGTGTCTACTTAAAAAATACAAAAGATTAGCCAGGTGTGGCGGCGGGTGCCTGTAGTCCCAGCTACTGGGGAGGCTGAGGCAGGAGAATGGCATGAACCCAGGAGGCGGAGTTTGC